CCACCAAGCCACTCCCACTGAACCGGTAGTAAAAAAAAAACACCACTGTTCCCAAGGTATTACTATATGGAATTAAACTATATGGAGTTAGCTTAACCCTTTTTGTGGCTGGACATGCTGGAGTTACATTTCATTACTGGGAAAAGGGAAATTAAAATGATTGGAGCATTTCACCTATTTTGGTACCTCCCCTGTTAATTCAGTTAAGTGAATTGCAAGATCATAGTCGTAGTCACACATCAGTTTTACACCCAGAGAGAATTATGTATTCTAGGTTAAAAAAAAAAAGATAACATACCACATTTGAATGATCCCTTGCATTATTGATTTTGTATTAGCATCCATCTTCCCTTGCCAACAGTCTCTCGTTTACATGGAGAGTTTACTAGCTGATGCTAATACCCCTTTCCACATCCAAAGACTGATAAAATGGAACAAGGGAAGAGTGACCCCACAAATGTACAATGAATTAAGGGCTCTGAATTTTTAGTTATCAAACTATGTATTACCAAATAAAAAACACTCATATGCCAAAAGACTCAGTATTCAGTATTTTCCACTTCTGGTCCTCTGTAAATCTTTTTAACAGGCAGGAAGGTTATGTTACATTGAAACTAGATTTTAAAAAAATAATAATAGGAAAACCTCTTTGGAATCATGTCAGGATCACAGATGATATTAGAAGCAACAGCACTGAAGGTTGTACTAAAGTTTAGATAAATGGCAAATTGCGACTTATTTGGAATAAAATCTGTTTTTTGTTTAAAAGCAAATGAGACAGGGATTGCTGGAGACATAGTATTATCAAACACTTGAAATCACTGATTCACCATAAATTTGTGTGAATCATATCTTGTATATCAAAACAGAATATTTTTTAAGTGAAATTTGAAGATCCATTCATGGAAGATACATAGAAGACATTTTTTTAATGCAACTTGTGTTTTATTCTTCTAACATTCAAGGACCCGGGGCAGATGCTTGGATCTGGCCCGCGGGCCCACCCTGGAAACAGACGGACTGGCCTGCGGTACCTCTGTCAGCAAAAAGGGAGCTGGGAGGGCAGCGTTTTTGCTGGCAAAGGACTGCAGGAGGCCGTCACAGCCTAAGAGACCCCGGGAAGCCTGTTGTGGCCAAAATCAGAGCTTCGATGAGTGACATCGAGCTGGCCACGCCCCCCTCCCGGCCCCACGAGGTCAAATGCAACTCTAATGCGGTCTTCAGTGAAATCAAGTTTGGCACCCCTGTTCTAATGGAACAAAGGTCCCCAGTGCTTATCGTGAGACTGCTGATGTCTGTTGATTCCCTGTCCCTTTTGCTTCATCCTACAACTTTGGAAAACCTTCTAAAAACAAAAATATGTAAATCAAAAGATGTACATTGTTGCTCAGAAAAGAGCAAAGATGAACAGGATAGTAGGGAAAGGAGCAAGTAATACTGTGAGTTGACGCTTCCTAAATGGTTACATTTTCCGTGAGTACGTATTTTACTTACGTGCCCATTTGTTCTTAAAATTTTATTTCAATACCCTTAGCCGTTTTCACCTGGTAAGATAAAGGCTCATCTCTATTCCAAACATGGTTCCAAAGGCATTCTTACAAAATGTAAATACTAGGATCAAATAATATTTTAATTTACCTTCCTGTCCATTAAAAAAAGTTTAGATAGGGATAGAAAGTACTGCACCGTCTTTTGGCTTACCTGTGCTTTGTACTTAGCAATAGATCAGCGTGTCAAACTTTCGGCCCACGAACCATGTGCTACACCCGCCCGGTTTAGCGAAGGGGGGAAAAGTCCCAATATGACAACGCGAGCAATAGATAGTATAACTATTTTTCTGAGACATATAACAAATTTAGAAGAAACCATGGCCCATTGATCCAGAAAATTTTAGCGAAATTTCTTTTGGAACACAGCCCAAATCAAAACAAAAAAGCATCACTCACACTCAGCCTTTCCACAGAAGTTGCAGCTGTGGGTCCTCCCTTTTGGCTTGGGAAGCGGCCACCAATCATTTTTACTTCTTGATCTTAGTGTATTGTGGTCTAGAAGCAGATTTTTGTTATGTCCTGCTCCCAACCTGTGGCATGACTAACAAAATTGATGTGCTGGTCCATCTTTTAAAGAAAGGGGTACACAAGTGCCCTTGACTCATTTTCAAGGTGTTAGCAATATCACAATCACAACTGTGATGCAATGAATTAACTTCCAATCAGTGGGGGCAGCTTTAATGAAAAACCCCTGTCAGTTTGTCTTCATTACACAACTTTGCATCAAGAATACAGAATTTGTTTGGCTCTCACCCTCCTCACTTTCTTCAAGAGCCTGAAGATGTGGTTCTATCAGTAGGCCTGAGGTCCCCAATGGAGGAATATCACACTGGCCATCTCCCCACTCCTGTATATTCTGCTTCCTTCCTTTGCAGCATTTATAACTTGTATTTTATTCCAATTTTAATGCAATTTTCACACACACACACACACAGAGAGAGATTCATTTTAATGTTGTAAACCACCCAATCACCTTGTGGTGAGATGGACAACAAATTAATATAATTTAAAAATTTTAAATTTAATAAATACATGTTTACATTTCTCATTTAATTACACCGATTCCAATATTAGACAATGAGACATACGTATGCAAGAGGTAGTTAGGCAGTTGTGTAAAAATGCTGTAAATTAATAATGCTTTCAGAAATAAGTGTTAATAGCATAAATTAACAAAATGGAAAGTAAATGAACAGAAGAGAAATCCAAATCTAATCAAAATTTGGTGTGACCACCTTTTACCTTCAAAATAGCTTCAATTCTTCTGGGTACATTTGCAGTTTTTGAAGGAACTCAGCAAAGTTCCCTCAAGGTTGTTCCAAACATCTTGGAGAACCACAGCTCTTCCATGTTGCCTCAAATCCTTCGGTCTCTTCATGTAATCCCACAGTCTCACTGACATTGAGTTCAGGTCTCTGTGGGGCCAAACTATCACTTCCAGAATTTGTTCTTTACGCTGTAGTTCTTAATGACATTGGCTCTATATTGTCCTGTTGCAGAATTTGGTGCCAATCATACGCCTCCTTAATAGATGACATGGTGGATAATTATCTCCCTGCATTTCTCAGCATTGACAACACCATTGATCCTGACTAAATCAAAAAATTAGAATATTGTGCAAAAGTTCATTTATTTCAGTAATGCAACTTAAAAGGTGAAACTAATATATGAGATAGACTCATTACATGCAAAGCAAGATAGTTCAAGCCATGATTTGTCATAATTGTGATGATTATGGCTTACAGCTCATGAAAACCCCAAATCCACAATCTCAGAAAATTAGAACATTACATGCAATTAATAAAACAAGGATTGTACATAGAACAATATCGGACCTCTGGAAAGCATAAGCATGCATATGTACTCAGTACTTGGTTTGGGTCCCTTTTGCAGCAATTACTGCCTCAATGCGGTGTAGCATGGAAGCTATCAGCCTGTGGCATTGCTGAGGTGTTATGGAAGACCAGGATGCTTCAGTAGCGGCCTTCAGCTCTTCTGCATTGTTCGGTCCCATGTCTCTCATCTTTCTCTTGGCAATGCCCCATAGATTCTCTATGGGGTTCAGGTCAGGCGTCTTTGCTGGCCAATCAAGCATAGTAATCCCAGTCACTGAACCAGGTTTTGGTGCTTTTGGCAGTTTGGGCAGGTGCCAAGTCCTGCTGGAAAATGAAGTCAGCATCCCCATAAAGCTTGTCTGCGGAAGGAAGCATGAAGTGCTCCAAAATCGTAGACCCTGGACTTAATGAAGCACAGTGGACCAACAGCAGCAGATGACATGGCTCCCCAAATCAACAGACTGTGGCAACTTCACATTGGACTTCAAGCATCTTGCAGTGTGTGCCTCTCCATTCTTCCTCCAGACTCTGGGTCCTTGGTTTCCAAATGAGATTGAAAAGTTGCTCTCATCAGAAAAAAGGACTTTGGACCACTGAGCAACAGACCAGTTCTGTTTTTCTTTAGCCCAGGTAAGGCGCTTCTGACGTTGTTTGTTCAGGAGCAACTTGACAAGAGGAATACGACATTTGAAGCCCATGTCCAGAATCCGTCTGTGTGTGGTGGCTCTTGATGCACTGACTCCAGCCTCAGTCCACTCCTTGTGAAAGTCCCCAACACTTTTGAATGGCCTTTTCCTGACAATCCTCTCCAGGCTGCGGTCATCCCTGCTGCTTGTGCACCTTTTTCTTCCACACTTTTCCCTTCCACATAACTTTCTATTAATGTGCTTTGATACAGCACTTTGGGAACATCCAACTTCTTTTGCAATTACCCTTTGCGGCTTTCCCTCCTAATGGAGGCTGTCAATGATGGTTTTCTGCACAACTGTCAGGTCAGCAATCTTTCCCATGATTGTGATTCCTACTGAACCAGACTGAGACCATTTAAACGCTCAGGAACCCTTTGCAGGTGTTACAGCTTAATTAGCTGATTAGAGTGGGACACTTTGAGCCTAGAATATTGAACCTTTTCACAATGTTCTAATTTTCTGAGATTGTAGATTTCAGGTTTTCATGAGCTGTAAGCCATAATCATCTCAATTATGACACATCACAGCTTGAACTATCTTGCTTTGCATGTAATGAGTCTATCTCATATATTACGTTCACCTTTTAAGTTGCATTACTGAAATAAAAGAACTTTTGCACAATATTCTAATTTTTTGAGTTTCACCTGTATAACTCCATTTGCAGAAATGCAGCCTCAAACTTGCAAGGAACCTCCACCATGCTTCATTGTTGCCTGCGGAGACTCATTATTGTACCGCTCTTTAGCAAACTGCCTCCTGCTACGGCCACATCTTTCATATTTTGACTCGCCCAGAGCATGTTGCCATTCTTCTGCACTCAAGCTCCTGTTTTCCTTGAGTCATTTAGTCTCATTTCTACTTTGGAGGTATGGCTTTTTGGGCACAAAATTCTTCCATGAAGACCACTTCTGGCCATTCTTCTGTACCTGGATCCCACTGATTCCTGCAGCTCTATGCTGATGGCACTGCTGAACATCTTCTGATGTCCAAGGGAAGCCTGATGTATCTTTCATCTGCTACATTTTCTTGGTTGACCACTGTGTACTGTCTACAATCAAGGTTGTCCGATTCTTTGTGCTTCTTCAAAAGACCTTGAACAGCACATCTTAAAATGTGTCTGCTTTGCAATCTTTGCCTGACAGATACTTTGTTGATGCAGTATAATTACCATGTGTCTTGTTTCAGTGCTGTTTTGCTATGGTGTACGACCTGTGACACAAAATGTCTTCCACAACCTCAGTAGCAGAATTTGGCTGTTCCTTGCCCAGTTTTAAGCCTCCTACACTACTGTTTCAGTTTCAGTTAATGACTGTGTTTCAACCTACATATGGAATTTATGATCATTAGCACCTGCTTGGTTTAACTGGTTAATTTGCTAAATCCTCCAAAATCCCTGGCATTGTGTACAAGGGTTAAGAACTGATGCTGGTTTGAACCAAAAGATAGTCACCCAATATTGATTTAATTTAGATTTTTGCTCACTTTGCATTTTATAAATTGATCAAAACAAACCATATATATTTTAAAAACATTCTTATTTACAGCATTTTTGCACAACTGCCTAAAATGTTTGCACAATACTGTTAATATTATCTGAATTCACTATACAGATTTTTCTAGGTTCGAAAGGGGAAAAGTTGATTCAGGGGTGCTATACCTGCCTGAAATTCCTTAAAGAACTATCTTTGATACAATTAAAGGAATGAAAACAGTTGCAACATGCTTGCTCATGCACACTTCAAATTACCTTTCACCTTCAAATCTCATTCCTGCACAGCCCATGTCTCTCCCATGTTTTGTTTTGAAACCCCTGCCATGCCTTGCTATATGCCATGCGAGATAGAACTTAAACAAGTTCAAGCCTAGAAGGCAAAAGTTCCTACTTTTGCAATGCCTAAACACAGCCTTCATTCAGTGTCTTAAAGGTACCAGGATTAATTTCAGAAGTAGACACATTAAAAAACAATGTATAAGCATTAAAAAAAGATTTAGACAATGTGAGTTAATTATTTTTTATTGGAAAACAAATATACAACTTGGAATGGATTTGAGGCAAGTTGTGCCATAAGCGGATTCTTTTTAAAATAAGTGGCTGAACAAAAGTTTTTAAAAGCATAGTAACTATTAGAAGAAAAATGTCTTCTGGTACATGACCAGGAGTACAAAAAATAGTGTACGAGTACCTGGATAATACACCCGTTTTGCAATAGTGCAAACTTTTTAAAGTTCCATATTGTTGACTGTCCATAGTCCACAGAGTTAAGACTACATTTCAACAACATGCTAAATTTCCTAAAATAACTAATTTCAACAGGCATAACCTAGATGATCCCTCATTTAACCAACACCATCTAACTTTAGAAGTGTGGAAGGACTTAAATATCCAGAGTAAGCCACATGCAAACATTTGTTACTTTGATCATTTTCCCAAAATATCAGGATGACAGATAAAGGGGAAAACATGGAGGAATGAGTTTGTTACTATACATGCATCTCTCTCAACAGAAGGGGAAAACCTTTTACAGATAAGTTACAAACAGAGAAAAAGGCAAATAAACAATTTGTACAAGAAATTTAACACATTCTGTGCAGTGTCTTCACTTCGCTGTCATCATTTGTACAAACTCTGTAGAAGAAAAAAGATGATGTTATTCAAGTATCTGTGTAAATATTCAAATAAAAAGCAGGCAATCTGCCACATTAGCCAAGAAATTTATGCCAGTTTGATCCTGCTATCTTGTTTTCTGTATAATATTTATGCAGTGCTTCTCACCATTTTTGAATTTTAAGAGGTGGTTCGCTTTAGTAAACTATTATTTCTAAATAATAATTATTTTAAATCATGCTTCATTTAATTAGCAGCAGTAATTCTTTCTAATAAATGAAGAATTCATACAAAAAGCGACAAGTCAGTTGTTCATTAATATTGTGGTGTTCAGCTCTATTTTTTAAGATACCTAACTAAAATACGAAGTCTTGCTATGTCCAAAATTTGCTGGTTACTCAATACTTTATCTTTTAAGTATCACATTAAAATACTTTTTCCAGATAAAATTATCAAGGTTTCTATGTGAGCAATTTAAAAAAAACTGCAGCATTACAAATGTTTTAATTTAAATATCACAAAGTATTTATTGGATAGACCACCTTCATGTTTGCACTCTATGTTCTACAGATCCATAACCAATTTATCAAAAACTGCTAGGCAATGAAAAATTTTGCTTGAGCAAAGACCTAAATACAGTTTAGTTCCTCAGTATAAAACCCATTGTCTACCTCAAACGTCCTTGTTCAAGCATAAGAAACCAACCTCTTTAATAACACTCAATAACTGGCTATCAGAATCCTTGCTGATATACTGCAAGCCTTACTGGTACACTAACTTGTCTAGTTTGGGAATACAGTAACTTTTATTATCTCAATTCCTATTATCTCAAGCATTATGGGAGCTACCATAATTGTAATATTGTCAGGTATGAACTGCAAGCTACTAAAGATGCATTTCAATATTTATAAGACTAAGTATTTTTTGAAAGATCATAACCAAGTAATTAAGAAGCATAAAGCTTGCAAATAGCACTTTTCTATTTTTAGTTCCAGTTAAAACTTTGCATTGACACTTTCCAGATATATTTGGCACAGACATGATTTACTCCAACTATTATTGTTGCAGAGAATTCCTTAAAGCTTTTCCTAAGGAGAAAATAATCTTCTGAGATCACATTAGGGGATATGAGAATACTAACAACTTTATTTGATTGGCCAGCTGCTAGAAAAAGACTATTTACCTGATTGGCAACTAATTTATTGCTTCTTTGAAATTATGTGTTATGAGATAAACAGATTACTTGGATTCTAACCGTGCTATTCCCTTGTATCAACCCTCCATTTTTAATGCAAGCTTTCAAAAGGAGAAACTGCACATTGCAAATAGTTTTACTGGGTTTTCAGACTGCCAAATGCAAAAACAAATGCACATCCGCTAACCAACAGAAAAGAAATTGTTTTTTTACTGTTTTTAAGCAGAAACCATTTTATCACTTCTTCAGCCTTAATTATGCAGATGTGTTGAGGCCAACGGGTTTGACTGTTTGCTAGCAGGTTCAAGACGTTTATTAATAAAAACTATGTATAACTTTTACCTTCATAGTTTACTTGACCATCACCATCAATATCTGCTTCTCTAATCATCTCATCAACTTCTTCATCTGTTAGCTTCTCTCCAAGATTTGTCATCACATGGCGAAGTTCTGCAGCACTAATATAACCGTTACCATCCTGGAAAATATTTGGTGATCACTTAATTATATTTGTTTTAAACTCATATTTTAACAATTACTCAATCAGAAATAACTTGTTTCTACTAAAAGGAAGTTAAAAATTAGGCATGGACAAGGACAATTACCACTGCAAATAACAGTCAAAGAAGAGAGACAATTATTGTTCCATGTATTTTGAACTTTTATATATGCATACCTGGGAAATCTTTTAGACTGTATTACAGACCAAACTATTTAACTGACATTATTTGACATTAAGATACTTTAATTGAGTTGGTAGGAATGGAAAAAAATGCACCATTATTGGTAGCACCAACTCTTCTGAAATTATATAGAACAGATTGCCTGCAAGTTAGAAAGGCTTGCATTAAAAGTCAACTGTAATTCCCTGAAAACTGTACATCATTGCTCACTGGCATGAGTACAGAATTTGTTTTTATCGAAATGGAAATTTCCCTTGGTTTAAGACACACAATACTTTGAAAGCTTATAAAAATAACTGGCATACCTTATCAAATACACGGAATGCTTCTCTAATTTCTTCCTCACTGTCTGTGTCCTTCATTTTTCTTGCCATCATTGTCAAAAATTCTGGAAAGTCAATTGTGCCATTACCTGGAAAATAATGTATATATTAATAAAATTCCTTTCAGTTATATCCAGGTATTAATGGAGATTTAATTTTAACTACTGAATTATTTTAAATAAAATTTACCATCAGCATCTACTTCATTGATCATGTCCTGTAATTCTGCTTCTGTGGGATTCTGACCAAGTGACCTCATCACTGTCCCCAATTCTTTTGTTGTTATTGTGCCATCTCCATCTTTGTCGAATAGTGAAAAGGCTTCCTTGAATTCTGCAACACAAAACAGCAAACCATTTACATATGCAAACCATTCACATATGCAAACCATTCAACTTATTTTTATTTAAATTTTAATTCAATTGCTCAAAAGCCAATGTAAGGGATAAGACTATGAGTAAAACAAATGAAATCCAAGCAGATTACATCACAGTAAAACACACACTGCTTTCAATAGGGTACTGTGTGTCTGATATTTTCAAAATTTATGTAATTAACTTCCATAGCAAAACTTTGTGATGGGTCAACTAACCAACTTTTTTAAATTAGGAAGTAATTAGCCAATCTTAGCTTAAACTTGAAAACAAACAGGATTAACCCTGGTTAATATGTAAACAAAAACCACCAGGCAATATCAAATTGAAATTAAATACAACAAAATAATCAAGAAGACATTTTTGTACTCTTGCCAAGAAAGCTATTGGCTAAGACCATGAAACCATCCTTAAGTTGAATGTGACTAAGAATTCCATTAGTTTCTCCCATCTTTTGTACAGCTAATTTAGTTGCAGGAAAAGAGATTAAAAACATGTACCAGTTTCCAAAGGAAAGTACTTTTCTTCTTGAAATGTGAAGTCCCTTTATTACTATCAGATGAAAAAATCCTTTTGTCATTTGATGCTCAGAAAGCTACTTCCAGAATGGAATTGATATATCACTGCTCTTTCTTTTGAAGTTTCCAGATATCCTTTATACTCTTATCTAACCCTTTCGTGTTCCCTCTACCTTTGGACCCTTCTTGTTTTGGAGCCCTGAAAAAAGATATCCGATGCCAAAATAGCATCTACTGTAAAGTCACCTATGTGTGATTACATTGATTACTATGTGTGATATACATTCCTATGTGTGAGGTAGGCACATAAATTTG